CGGAAGGTTGTTGGTTTGATCCCCGGGCTCCTGGTGCCACATGTCGAAGTATCCTTGAGCAAGATACTGAACCCCGAATTGCTCCCGATGGCATTCATCACATGTGTGAATGTGTATGAAATGCATTAGTTTCTGTTCTGAGTGACTGAGTGAATGTTTGTGAAAGGGTGAATATGGCATGTAGTGTAAAAGCGCTTTGAGTGGTCAGAAGACTAGAAATCCCCCTAGAAAGGCGCTATACAAGTACAGGTCCATTTACCATTTACATCCCACAGAAGCCTTTAGAAATATTACAAACTTCAGGTAGTCCAAATGGTCCATACTTATGGACCAAGTATGATGGGTATTTGTGCTTTTCATCTGTCATATTAATAAGCAAATCCGTGTCATCTGAGCACATAAAAAAGAGGCTGTTCTGTTCCTTTGCTCCCCTACTTTAAAGATGTGACAGAAGAAAATGCATGCTTTAAATACGGATATGAGGCTAAACCAAATAGAATATAACGAATAATATATAAATATATAATAAAAATAATAAAATATAAAGTAAAAGCAGTATGAGGTGATTCATGATCCCACTTTAGAGCTGACGGCTTCTTATTTTCTATCCTCCTCCTCTGCTGACACGTCCCAATGAGACAGACTGCCCTCCTAAAGCTGTACATCATGCTAAATCACAATTTTATCTTTATTTTAGATACATTTTAAGATTAATAACATCACATAGGCTACTCTGTATCAGCCATTTTACACTGATAACTTTATGTAAGACACTGTTATATCAAATTCATTTGGAGACCATCATTCACTCTCCTTTTAGATCTGTTTTGGTTTCCATTAACTCCTGAGTGAAATATCTGGCTCTTTAGCTGCTAAATAAATAAATAAATAAATAACATAATATTACCTTACCCATAATATTAACTCCCTAAAGCAGCTTTAAGGAAGTGTAAAATGTGTTTAGGTGTAACCTGATATATAAATGTGAACTTCCTCTTGTTTTGGTTTCATGGTCCACAACTTTACTTTAATTAATGCAATACTTTCTAATGATTGTTTTATATCTGTTAACTTCATGTGAAATCTTTGTCAATTGAATGATAAAATAAGCTTTTACATATAAAATGGTAAATAAAGCTGGAACATAACCAAATTGGCTGTCACCTAAACGTATGTTGAATCTTTATTTGATAAATTACAATGCGTCGTTCACTATACAGGGTTAGTCTAAAATTGTTGAGGTTGTTAAAAAAAAAAGAAAAGAAGTTGAAGACGTGAGATTTTTAAAAAGCATACAGTCAGCAGGTAAGCTGAGTTTTTTTAAATGAACATCAAAAGGTGAAAAACTGTTTTGCCACCCATCCTCCTCCTCTAATTGGTCAGAACGGCCCAGTGGAGAGCATGGTCCAATATGAGGCTCACTTCGCTGCAGACGGCGGCGCGGCTCAGTCTGCCGCCTCGCTGCATCCAGACGCACATCCACAGTGCTGCCGACGGAATTAGTGAGCTTTTACATTTTGGAACATGTCCAAGCTTAGTCCGGTAGGCGTTGCCTGATAAACGTATGAAGTGGACGCCGAAATTCTACCCTCAGCAGCTTTTGTGAGATGTTCTGCATTTGCCATGGCAAGAGATCTGTTTCCATGGGGGCTCTTCAGAAAGCCTCTGTACATTCAGGTAAGCTTCTGGGAAATCCCTCTTCACTCCGGTGTAAAGTCGAACTGGGAATCTACCCCGGCTCTGTCTGTGTACATCCTCACAGCCTACACTCGGATCTTACCGGTAGATATAAGAGGCGATGCGACTGATTATTATTATTATTATTATTGCTTATACTACTTTATCATTTGACCTTCGTGTTGCATATGCGTTGGTGGTAAGTCGCAGGTGTTGCTGTGTAGGGTTTTCAGAATGAATCATAAAGTCACTTGATGCTCGACGGCTCGACAAGAATCAACCATCCTCCTGATCCCCGTTGCTGTAGCAACCACGTCCATGATACAGCTGGTACAGTCATACATTCAAAAGAGGCTGTTTCTGAGGCTGTAAAACTTTATTACCAGCTTACATTACATAATACATTTACAGTCTCCATCCTTGTTTCTTCTGTCTCATGTTGTTCCTATATATATTGCTACATGCAAGTAATCTCAGGATAAGTCATGCTTGTGTGTTTTGTGCTTTACCATCATTCACTAAGATGAATCACTGCAATTCATGTCATTAAATCACAGATCAGTATTTGATATGATGCTGCCCTGGTTATTCTCATCTGGGAAAGTGTTGCAGAACATTATGTAACAGCTTGATGTGAGTGAAAGTCCACAGTGGCATTGCTCATAAGTAAAATGAAACTCTGCAAGGGAAGTCCCCTCAAGGACATCTGGAGATCTCACATGATCCAGAGAGTTATATGTTAATAGAAACTCTTGTTGAACACGTTCCCTGGCTGACTGAATGGTGAAAAAAGAATGCCTCCCTCCCTACATCAGACTATCCCAACTCAATATTTTGCTAATTGTATCCATCTTGGAGATATTCGGCCATTTGCTTTACTAATTTTCAAACAGTGTCGTCTCAGCAGCTGCTGCGATCGTCCTGACGGTGCCCTTGCATGTCAGAGACAAAAACTGTCAAGCGCAGTGAGAGAAACAGGCAGTCTCAAGGGACAGCCACCAGCATCGCTCAGTTTTCTAGGCCACCTCAGCCTTCCAGTGACAACTTAAGAAGTGTCATTCAGTGATCCTCGGAGAGAAGCTATTTCCACTGAAGTATAAAAACTGACAAGTCCTGTAAGCTGGAAATATTAGTCTGGTTCATATGCAGATTCTGCATGTCTTCATATTTCACAATCAAGTACAGATATTGCATAAAATAGAAACGCGTTTGATTGAGCGCAATTATTCTGCACATGCTAATTTCTCCTTAACAAGTGGTCAAAAGATCCTCTTGTCTCTTATGCTTTAAACTGCAGAGATGCTTTAAACACTTGACAGTTTAAAGGTCAAGTGTGTAAAAGCATGTAGTGGCAATTGATAACTTCAGTGTCCATTAGTAAAGCAGATACTGTATGGTGACATATATAGAGACTCATCTTCATTAAACCCCATTGCTCGTTCTGAAATCACTTTTTGGCCGCAATTTCAACAATGACCGAGGCATGTTAAAATCTTTTTTTTTAAAGTCTCAATGTTGTTGTTTTTTGTATTTTACATTCATTTTTAATAACCTATATTTGAAGCAGCAACAGGGAACTTTCATTTTGTGTGGATTCTGGCAGCCCCTGTGGACAAAAGGTGTAGTGTTTCCACCGCCTCTTCATATGATCTGACCACGTCCAGCCCGGTGGCAGGCATTAAGAAAAACAGTAGAAATAGTCAGTGTTCCAGCTCATGGTCTTGTTTGTTTATGTAGTCATATAGATCAGGGTTCTCCCACTTTTGTGAGAGTGAGGGCTACCTAAATGGAGAAAATTGTCGGGAGGGCTACTGTGCACACTTGACCAACATCCATGTTGAATTGCTTTCAATAGAATAGCATAGTCCTGTGTATTTTCACCTTAAGTCATTTTCATATACAGGGTTAAACCAAGTAGAGGTGGAATTGCGAGTGTGGAAGCTATAATATATATATATTATATATATTAATATAATATAGTTTAACTTTACTTTTAACATTGAAGGATCTTATGAGAAACCAATCAATTTAATCAGCTTACAAAGTAAACCAATTAATTGATGATCATGAAAATCTAAAAGTGAAACAGCAAGGGCTTACGCCTCCATTTGGGACACAGTATGAACAGCAAATGCAGAAGGGAAGAATAGGGAAGTATGGTTATAACTCAGAACACGGAACAAAGGCTAGTCTCCATAGACTTTGATAATTATTAAAAACGTGTATTTACATATTTTGTTTGTATAGCACCAATTCATAACAAAAAAGTTATCTCAGGACACAAATAGAGCAGGTCTAGACCATACTCCCTATAAAATGATTTACAGATACTCAACAGTTCTTGCCTTTGGGTCCAGTCCTGTTTTTTTAATATCCCACAATGCAGTGCATTTTATAGACGCAATTATCATTTGGTATGAATGAAGGTATGAAACCAGAGCTCAAAGAACATTCATGTTTGTTTTATTCCACTTTAATGAAGTATTGCAATTTTCCAATAAAATATAGCATCATACAAGGAGTAATGGATGTGCATCAACATTATCTAACATTTGAAAACATGCCATCTGCAGTTGGTAAAGGTTAGTTTAAAGCAATACTATATGCTTGACTGGATACTATTGAAG